GAAATTTCTACAAAATTAAGGAGTTCGTTAAATTCAGTCTAAAAAGTTGAGCTCGAGCTGTTGTTCGAGTTCATATCTGACTTAGTTAAAATCTGGGAAGTCTCCTTTTCTAAAGGGGAGTGCTGCCCAAATTTCTACTAGTTCAGAGAGTTAGACAGAATTTGATTATCCAGAGTTACAGATCGTTTCTGTTTTTGTATCTGACTTAGTATAAATCAGGGAAGTCTCGCTTTCTAAAGGGAGTGCTGCCGAAATTTCTACTAATTCAGAGAGTTAGACATAATTTGGTTTTCAAGGAGTTAGAGATGGTATCCTGCTTTATATATGACTTAGTATAAATTTGGAAAGTCTCATTTTCTAAAGGGAGTGTTGCCCAAATTTCTACTAATTCAGGGGGTTAAACAAGATTTGGCTTTCCAGAGTTAGAATTTATTCATATTTTTCATATTTAGACTTGTATAAATTCTGTAAAGACAATTTTCCTACGGGGAGCGCTGGCAAATTTATTTGGTTTAGAGGAGATAGGTTATATTTTGACAGGTGGTGATTCAGGCGATCCACCCAGAATAGGTGAGAGTCTGTAGTTGATCTACCTTTAGCTTAAGCATTTGGTTTAAAAGTAGACTTAGGTTTAGCTTATAAGGAGATTTTGARGAAGGATGTATTATGGAATTGTATTCTTAGCTTGGGAATTGGTCTGTCGTGTGTTACAGGTTCTTTTGATCTTTTGATTCGATRTCAGGATTAGATCCAGCTTGATCCCTCGAGGATCATCATCTGTTATCACTGATAACAGGTCGGTTGCCGATTCGTCGGTTTACGACTCAATTTCAACTCACCCTCTACTCTCAACCTAAAAGGCTTTAGCCCTGGTGAATTTTATTGTTTTATTAAGGTTTTACCCGGACTTTTATTGAATGGCCATTTAACAAAGGTGCTGAGTATTTAATTAAGGTTGGTTGGACAGGAGGTTTGGGGCTTGCATGGCTAAAGCGAGGGGTATGAGCGTCGAAGGTGGTTGGGGTTGACTCCGTGTAGTGTGTGGGCTGTTGATTTGTTTTCGTTGGTGTGATGGCAGGTATGTGCTGTGAATGAGATTTCTGGATTTGGTTGCCTGCGATCACACATATACGTATTATTGTGAGAAAACCCCAGCGAAACCATGAGGAGCGATCGTCACATATTTGACCCTTATATATGTATAAATGGACGTGCTTGAGATGAATGTTTGCATGGGTTGAAGAATCCCCATATTACAGCCTCATCCAGAAGCTGGGACTGAAGAACCTAGGGGAGGCCCCTACTTCTATTTTTATTCTTGCTTTTTGAGGATTTTCTTAGTCGGACGTTTGGTCCTGGGCTGGGATTCGAGGTCCTTGTCCAGGACATCCCCAGCCCTAGGCTTTGCRGGGGAGGGGYYTTCCCTCGCGCARASCCTATTTGATTTGCCTACCGAGACGCTCAGGTCAAGAGCCTAAGGCGTAGCGGCGGCTGCACGACTATTTCTTTCAGCCGTGCAATGTCGTGAAGGGTTAGGCCCTCACGACACTTCAAGTCTGACACTTGAATGTCATAAGCGGTACTCGGATCCACGAGGGACCGCTTGATAATGGGCACTACATAGTACGCCATCATTGCGACTGCTTGCGTACGCTTGCATTGCGAGTCGATATGAGTAGGTCCTGCGTCCGCGCGTTTTTATCCTAAAGTCTCGCGTGCGACGACTAGTCGATTTTGCATCGGAAAGTTATGGGACGGCTACCGAGGGGCTAGGAGCGTTGTCGCGTTGTTTGTGTCGTGTCGTTTCGTACGTGTGCGTGTACATGTTTTATGTTCTTGTGTTCGTAAAGTGGAGTGCGCGTGGTGTGTGGGAAGCGTCCTAGTCGATCGACGATGAGTCGCGCTTGGGACCTCAGCCCCCCCAAGGTGTCGGTTCGCGTGCGGGTTCAATAGAGGAGTATTACCGCGCGTACCCCCTATGCTACAGCGAACGAGAAACGCCCTCGGCTGGTTCACCTCTGCGATTGCAGCTGATTAACTTTCGTATTGTGGACTGGTAGTTCGGCGGGGATACGCCCACCGAAGGGAGGTGACAGCTCCCGTAAGGTGTAGGTAAGTCGTGCCTCGCGTAGGCCCTATCCTGTCGTAGGGGCTCGCGAGAGGTATGGCTGGCGCACCCGGCCGGAGCGGCTTGTGGAAGCTCCATGTATTTCCGCGACGAATGATTGAAAMCCAACTCCTGCGTGACGCGGCCGGGAGGGTCCCGCGCTGCCCCCGTGCGGTGCCGGACCGATTGCGCCCGACAGCGGGGCCATGCAGAACGTAGGCAATCCCTTCCGTTCTCTCTTCCTAAGTCCTTGCAATTTTGTGTTCTTCACGCATGCATACACAATATAAATTTCGGCTGCGCGATTAGATAGCTCTCTTAACCAGTTGCTGGAAGCTCGGGATAGCGTGATCAGTGAGGGTCGGCTCACGAGTGAAGTAAGAAGTAAGTTGGAGTGGGAGTCGGGTGACCCGACGAGCTGGTGCCGAATGCGCGGGGTTGACGCGTGGGGCTACGACGAACTGTAGCGCGCGGGCGAACCTAACGGGTGCAGGAGGACTAAGCGGGGTGACTACTTCTCGGGTTGGTGCGTGACGACGGACTGTCCGCAATCGGAGAAAGAGAAAGAGGAAGAGAGAGTTGAGGTTGATGGACGTGGATTTGCAATTTTCTTTGCTTTTTCCTTTAGTTTTGTATATAAGTTTTGATTTCGGCTCGAGCGATTCGCTCTCATTTCCCTTCAGCATCTTTGTTTCAATATTGGTCCTTGTATGATGTCTCATTCCGTCTCGGTCCTCCCTCTTTTGTGTGTATGGGATGAACGAGTTCGGATGGAATGATATGTTTGTCGTTTTTGCCTAGTCATCATCATTGTTTGTCACTTTGATCCGTTGTTGTTATGGTATGAGTTCTGATGTTGTTCGATGTCTGATATGTGTGATGACGCCTTGCATGCTCAGAAATGATTGTTTGTGGGATCACCGAATGATGGGATGATTGAATAGTTGTCCATGACACATGGCGGTTTTGCATGCAAAATTAAACTCTCATTTTTGCAACAGCCAACAGGCCCGTGCATGAACGAACACCTCGTGGGGATACGTGTAAGCGCGAAATGATTTTTGCGCAGCCTACACTTATCCACGCGCGGCGATTCACGACCACTGATGAACTGGCACCTCCGGTATCGGGATAGGCGAGGAATTTCCTTCTTTCAAGCATCTGAACTGACAGGAATCTCCCGCCCCATATCTGGAAATCCCCCTGCCAATCAGGTCCGTGCGGAAGACTTTCACTACGCCGCAATGACAAGATGACGTACACCCGGGACTCAGGGTACTTAGAGCACTGGGAAGGAGAATATCTTAGGTGGAGGTACCCTGAATTTCCCTGCCTAACCGAGAACCGGTTGTGCCCCAGGGAGTTTCACTGTGTCGTAACCAGCGATCCAAGGTGCCCCCATTACCCAACTACGTATAACACGCAATACTTCATATCCCCCGGCTTCGTCGTTATCGCCACCAATTTCCCTCCCTTCCATCTCCTCCTCCTGTACCACCAACTCACGGTGGTGCCGTGGAATTCCATCGCCCCGTATTGGCCCCACACGCCGTGCAGAAATTGCAGACGACGCCGCCACCTCCGAACCCCTGGAACTACGGAGCCTAATCATAGCACGAGACGACAAACGCCACTCGTTTGCACCCGGAGGTCCGACTCATAGGAATCGCAACCCTCACAAACGGGCCTCTCCCGAACCGCCATCACTAAAACAGACGGATCGGACGACCCTGGATGCACCACGCATGCCATCGGCCTTATGCTTCACGACATCGACCGCCATCCGACCGGAAGTAACCCGCCCCGTAGCCCTATTGTACCCATGCCCTGAACCCTTGCCAAAGGAGATCTCAGTTCCGACCTGGGACTCCACCCACACTTTCCCAAAAATCCTTGGCACACCCCTTTTCGCACTTCCAGGCCCACATCCCACTCCGATCAGGAAGTCGCGCCGGGCGTGAGGTTGGTATCGGAGCCCGACACGTGGTAGGGTTCTAGGATTCACAACTGGGCGATCTAGCTAACAGGGGACGACCTCGACCCCGGAACGCGCATCAACGTGACCCCGTCGTTACCAGAAGCCGGTCTGCGGCTCGACGGGCGGTCAACATGAACGCTAATCAATAGAACCCGAATCCGCAATAGAACCCCAACCAACCCATAAATCCTAACCAACTCGCACCACGAGCACGGGCTCCCTTGACGCCATCTGATCTCTATCTATTTGACCCTGCACATCACCGTGCTGGAGCATGGCTGGCCAGGCTCCGGGCTCAGCAGTACGATGATAACGAGGCACAGGTGAATATTCCCACTCGATTGGGGGGAGACGCTCATCATTGGTTCAACACTTATGTATGGGTAGATCTCTCGACGTTCGAGCGAGACTTTCTAAACCGATTTGATTATATGCACCCAGAACAAGCCCTTTTTATGATTAAAGATCGAGTCCAAAAACCCCTCGAGTCTGTCCCCGAGTACCGAAACCGGTTCTACCGAATATTTGTAAAGACCGAGTGAGGCGAACAAGTAGGAAGAGATTTGTTTATCGATGGGCTTCGCAGCAGAACGATGAGGGCGAAACTGCGAAAACAGTTCTCCCCCATCAATCACACGCTGCAACAGATCATGGCAGCCGCAGAAGAAATGGAACGAAAGTTCGCCGCAAGTTTCCTAGAAGGGGAAAACTATCCTAGGAAAGGAGACTCGTCTGAACTAGCGAGAGTTAAAGTTGCACTTCAAAATAAATTTAAAAATATGGGATTTGTGTCTGGCCCTATCACCTATCTGGAACAAATTACCCCCAAACGATCAACCCCGAGTGTGATTACGAGCATGCCCGTGCCCGTGATGACAGCACCCCCGCCACCGATCGAAAGCCCCGCACGACCGAATGAGTCTTCCGCCTTATTGGAACTAACCAAAACACTGGTCAATCTGATCCAGGAAAGCAAAAAGGAACAGTGGGAACACAATGCTCGAATAGAGGCGATGATGAGGTCGATGCGACCAATGGCAGTGCATGCCGCCCCGATTCAACACGGGCTGACCCCGACACCCCCTTCCGCAGGGATCCCTGGCAATCTGAACGTTTGTTACACGTGTCATCAACCAGGGCACATAGCCCGAGATTGCCCCCATCGACCTCCGCATCCGCGAGTCGGAGCGGCACCGGTAGCAGCAGCCCCGATCACTAACGGACCTGGACGGGTAGGGGCGCTAATGGAAGAAATGGAAGGGGGTGGAAGCACCTTAGCTACGATGGAGGAAGCTGTGGAACTCATTCCGTTGGATCAGTATGTAACGCTTGGTTAACCGGGATTAGGCATGATCGGAACAATTAGACCCGCACCCGAACAGAGGGAAGTGGCGGAGTGGAGACCGTCTCTAGGAGAAATGGAGTCGGGAGGACCTACTTTCGTCACTGGGGAGATCGATATTTTGAACATCGTTCGAGCCTTGGATCATCGGATTCCTCTTCCGATCGGTCATCCACTCTCGATATAAGAACAAGCCAACGAACGGATGTTGCAACACTGCAAGGCGAATCGGAAACGATTTGCCCTCGCCCAGACAAAGAACACAAAAGCAAAAAGTCCAACATAAGATGAAAACGTTAGTGGTACTTCAGACCAATACGGTTAGGATTAATACAGAAGGACGATCACTTCCTACGAATTAAGCCAATCCCATGAAAATCCGCAGAGTGCGATATCGAGATATGGGGAATCTCGTACAATGCCAACATCGATTCTGGAGCCGTTGTTTTGGTTATCTCATTACGGGTAGTTGAAAGGGCAGGAAGAAAAAACGATCTGATTATGCTTGCGGAAAAAGATCATCTCGTTTCAGCAGACGAAAAAAAGATTAAAACGGTAGGGCGGATGACCAATGTGGCCTTTCGATTGGGGAAGGTGCATGCGCTGGGAGATGTCGTAGTCTTAGACGTGAACACTTATGACGTCCTTTTTGGCCTTCCCGCTCTTGTGGCCTTGCGAGCCAATCTGGATTTCGAGAGGCGACCGATTGTCCTCCGAAATACAGGAGGAAAGCCCTATGTTGTACCCATGAGGTTGACCCGTCGTACCACCACTAATGTAACCCCGCGAGTTTCTCAAATAATGGCGGGAACTCTTCGCATGATCACTTGGGACAACTTCGCAGACGGTGAGCAATCGTCGAAGGATGTGATCCAATAATTCTGGAACTGGCGCGACAACATATCTATTACCCTATGCAACGAGCAAACGCGAGACCATTGAGCCTGACTGATCGAAATCTACAAAGAACACAAGCGATGATTCTGGGCAAACCTCTCGTGCAGATATCGAGGATAGTCGATTCTTTGGAACCCCCTCAAACGCTGTACGAAGGTACCTCCCCTCTCCTCGCACGATATAACGACAAAAGACACTTATGTGACATCACAAATCTCCCCCGATCTCTTTTGCCGCCCGCAAAAGAGATACGATTGTTGCGCTTAGGGGCGGAGGCCAACTCTTTGGAACCCCCTAAGCGCCTCGAAACTGGACTCGGAATCCGAATCGCAACGAAGCGCGTGCCATGGCAGGATATTCGCAGCGGAGTAACGCCGGAAGAACACGTGGCCATTCGGGAAGAGGATGCGCAAATGATGGTTACGGTATTTTCCTGGCGGTCGGACAATTCCTTAATTTCCGCACCCCCGCCTGAACCCACCAAACGGGTAAGCACGAAACAGATCAACCTACGAATATGGGACCAGTTGTACGAGCTACATGTGCCCCATTACGTACCCGATGAAAATCATCACCTCATCTTGGATATTATGAAAGAATACGAGGGTGCGATTAGCATGACGGACATAGACATTGGACTGTCACTCGTCATACAGCACGAAATTCAGACCGGGAACCATCCCCCGATCCACTGTAAGCCCTACAGATACTCCCTGGTAGAACGAAAGACGGCTCTTCAGCAGATCCGGGAGTTCGAAGCCAATGGATGGATCAAACCTGCTACTTGGCCATGGGCATTTCCAGTAGTACTAGTGTCAAAGAAGAACGGGTCGATTCGCATATGCATCGATTATCGCAAGCTGAATGATATCACAATCAAAAATGTGTATCCCCTTCCCCAGATTGATGATTTGTTGGATGTCATTGGATGTGCTAATTATTTTAGAAAATTTGATATTCGCCATGGTTTTCATCATATTCTGGTTAAGGAGGAGGATCGACCGAAAACGGCCTTCGTATTGTTTGAAGGCACGTGGCAGTGGGTTCGGTGTCCGATGGGGATTTGCAACGCGCCTGCCACGTTTCAGCGGGCTATGAATGTGACATTCCAGAACTTCGTCAACAAGATGCGGCTAACTCAAGGGATGATTAACTTCTGCGTCATCGTGTACATGGACGACATCCTGGTCTACTCAAAAACCTATCATGGGCATGCACAACACATCGAGTGGACGTTGGGAGCTCTGAGAGATGTTGGGTTCAAGATCGCGCTTGAGAAGAGCGAGTTTTTCCTCTCGGAAATCTCGTTCTTGGGTTACGTGGTGACACGTGGAGGACTACGGCCAGATTCGAGGAAGGTCGCGGCGGTGAAAGACGCCCCTGTTCCTACGTCACTAACGCAGGTTCGAGCTTTCTTGGGACTAGCATTGTACTACCATCACTTCATAAGGGTTTCGCCGCGATAGCGCGACCTCTGACGAAACTACTATGAAAAGACCAGCCCCTCAGTTGGGACGCAGAGTGCGAACAGGCCTTCGCCACCCTCAAGGACGCCCGGGCGACGACACCTATTTTGATCCGGCCGGACCCTACGAAGCAGTTCATTCTTATCACGGACTGGCAGCCAAAGGCGATTTTCGCTATTCTAGCGTAGAAGGGGAACGACGGTCGAGAACACGTCATCGAGTGCGCGTCTCGTACAGTGCCAAACGAGCGAAGGAACGATTCAGCCCCGCATGGTGAATGCTATGTCGTAGTCTGGGGGATTCAGCACTTCCATCCGTATATCCACGGACATAAGTTCCTCCTTGTAACCGATCACGAGCCATTGCTGGCTCTCAAGAGGCTTACTAATTACACGGGTATGATTGGACGGTGAGCGGTGTGCCCACAGGAGTACGATTTCGACATCATCCATCGAAAGACGGAGAGGCACGGCAACGCGGATGGGATGACACGTCTGCATCGACCAGCTAAGGTACCTAAAGGAAAAAAAATCATTTCGTGGAAGAAACCGGAATCGGCGAACGGACCCAAGTACGAACAAGTGGCAGTCCTTCCACGTGGCAAGAAGCAGACAAGTGGAAATGGATGATGGAGGTAATCTAGCAACTCCTCTCTCGCCCCTCTCGTCTTCATCTCTTTTCTCTCTTCCTACAAATTTTGCTATTTTTGCGAAGCAATTTCACGCGTCTACTCGGTCCCTATGCATCCTTCTGGGAAAGGATATGCCGAATGGATAGATTATCGGCAATGTGTCGCACGAGCCCACGGCTCGTGCATTCAATACAGAAATAATAATAAGCCTTGGTTGTGCCCCTTATATCGAGACGATAAGATCCCGACTGAGGCTCGATTTCTCGATGCCACGTCTAAAGGATTAGAAAAGACCCGGAAGTTTAGAAGAGCCGAGGTATGGACGCACATTGCTTTAATCGCCAGCTGATGGAACGGTCCCTTCCCCGATTAGCCCGGAAACGCCAACGGATGACCGAATTGGCCCAAGGCCGACAGGTCCGTAGCTATGAGGCCCGAAATGGGAATGCGGGACCACGGCTACAGTATAAATCAGGGGACATCGTGCAGGTAAGGAAATGTGTTCGCCAAGGTAAGCTAGCGCCACGATTCTTCGGGCGATTTCGCATGGTCGAGCTTGGACCAAACGGAGTGAACACGGTGTGGCTCGTGCCTGAGGTCTCCGGCAGTCGATCGGCTCACCCGATCACGTGTCCTATTTGAAGCCCCTCCCTTCCTCTCCATCTCCAGCTGTGTCTGCTTCCTCCTTCGCTACAGAGGAGGACGACGACTCTTTATCGCCCTCTCCCCTCCTGCATTTCTCACCCCATCTCTTACTCCGGCCCCGTCGCCATCGCCAGGAGTTTTTCCACCGAGCGAGCTCTCGGCGATCACATGCTGGTGCCACGCGGCGACATCTCGGCAATCCGGCAAGTCTGTCATCCGCGGATCATTCCAGATCGTCTTCGGTTCGCACAGTTCTTCAGCACAACGGGGGTGTACGCAGCGGCGGAATTCTGTTTTACGGCTCATCGTCGGACACTCGTTTTTGCCGAAGCATCGACTTACCGTCGGTTGTCCACACCTGGAGTCAGCCACGTGTCGACCGTCGTCGTCTTCAGCGGTGACATCAGCACAGTAGGTCCTCTACGACATACGGCCATTCGGGCGGAGTTGTGAAAGTGGGGTCAGCAGTTGGCGGCAGAGTGGGATCATTGGCTTGGGCGCCACGGTGACAATCTCGTCGTCACCGACAGCGTCGACGTCGGAGGGCTCCGTACGTCCCGACACGAGCCACCAGTGGCGTTCCCAAAACTCATCCCCTTTCAACGCCCTCAATGAACCGATCCCAACTATCTACCTTTGCTCTCCCCTCTCTCTTCCCTACCTTCTGGCAATCTGGCCTTTGCCCTCATCTCTCCTATTGTCTGGAATCACTCGTTGTCCCCCTCCTCAATCGAAGACAGTGGGAACAGTGGAGCGAGCACTTCATCGATCTCTCTGTGTGTCTGGTCGGGGTGCAACTGACGTGGACGCGAGACATCGAGCACCGCGCCTGGATCGAATATGTGGAGTTGCTGATCGTCCAAGCCTGGAGGACGGAGGTGGAGGGGGACCTTCTCGGATTTCTCCGGATCGGTGCAGCCCGGCCATCGACAGCTGATCATGCGGTAACTCACAATCCCCCTCGCGCAGCTAGTCGACGATCTCCCCGTCGACATCATCTCGCAGTGTGACGAAAGCCCAGTCCCGCACGTCCTTTCACGAACACTAATGCCCTATCTGCAGTGGTCGGCTTGTCTTGAAGAGCAGGGAGGGAACAACAACCCGCCATCGCAAGCCGAGTACCTGAACCCGCGAAGGATAATTGACATCTCCTTCTTCCAGCCTCACACAACCTCCGAAGATGAAGTACTAACGTTGGAGGAGGAAGAAGAAGAGAACGAAGAAGAGGATGACGAGGAAGAAGAAGAAGAAACCCCAGAAGAAGGGAGTTACAGCGAGCATAGCGAGGGAGAGCAGAGCAAAGAAGAAGAAGAAGAGGACGAGGAGCAAGAGGAGTCTGAGTGGGAAATTTTGGGGGAGGAGGCGAGCCACACAGAGGCCCGAGAGGAAGATCCAGGGGTGACGGCGAGGCGCAGAGAAGAGATTGCAGCCAGTAAGCAGCCGCTAGGGTACGCGAGCGGAACGGATCTGCCAACCTCAGACGATCCGACCAAGGATCCGGAGCCGCCCAAGCCAGAGGATGGGGGCCCTGCTGCCGAGACTTCGAGCGCACCGGCCAGGCAGTGGCGAAGCGGATCCCCCTCCCCCTCCACCTCCACCCGTCCGACAGTTCGAGCTCGTACCGATGCGGGGCATCGGGCTTCGTCCCCTGTCCTTATCTCGTCGTCCTCTTGACTACCTCACCTTCCGACAGATCACCACCCGCGTCACTTTCCCCCTCAATCCCTTTTCGATCGACACCTTCCACCTCTTCTACGCCACCCGCCTTGCTGTTACGGTACACCCGCATCCCTCTACTCGATGTGCCACCCTGTCTTTTGTCTTCATGTCCTTCTCTTCAGTGCCACGTGGCGGGGCCACAACATAATCGAGGTCTACTGCATAATTACGGGGACTATCCCCACATGTGAAAACCACGATCGCTTTCGCACGACACTCTTTTGAACCTTCACCACCTTCTACCCCGACTATCTCGCATCCCTTCCTCATAGTGGTACCCGATTCCCTCGCTTTCATCGGATCATCCGATATCAGGAGCTTCCGGTGACACCCTTGTAACTGTATCTTTCTTCTTGAGTTTCGTCTTTCCCGCCCTCTCTCTTCTTTGCTGTGTCTATCTGGCCCGTGGGCTGCATGATCGGATCGATGCGTGGAGAATGGCTATGTCCCCCACGCCGCGGTCTGGCCATGCAGAACGTAGGCAATCCCTTCCCTTCTCTCTTCCTAAGTCCTTGCAATTTCGTGTTCTTCGCGCATGCATGCACGCTATAAATTCTGGCTGCACGATTAGATAGCTCTCTTAACCAGTCGCTGGAAGCTCGGGGTAGCACGATCAGGGAGGGTCGGCTCACTAGTGAAGTAAGAGGTAAGTTGGAGTGGGAGTCAGGCGACCCGACGAGATGGTGCCGAATGCGCGGGGTTGACGCGTGGGGCTACGACGGACTGTAGCGCGCGGGCGAACCTGACGGGTGCAGGAGGACTAAGCGGGGTGACGACTTCGCGGGTTGGTGTGTGACGACGGACTGTCCGCATCGGAGAGAGAGAAAGAGGAAGAGAGAGATGAGGTTGATGGACGTGGATTTGCAATTTTGTTTGTCTTTTCCGTTAGTTTTGTATATAAGTTTTGATTTCGGCTCGAGTGATTCGCTCTCATTTCCCTTCGGCATCTTTGTTTCAATATTGGTTCTTGTATGATGTCTCATTCCGTCTCGGTCCTCCCTCTTTTGTGTATATGGGATGAACGAGTTCAGATGGAATGATATGTTTGTCGTTTTTGCCTAGCCATCATCATTGCTTGTCACTTTGATGTCTGATGTGTGTGATGACTCCTTGCATGCTCGGAAATGATTGTTTGTGGGATCACCGAATGATGAGATGATTGAATAGTTGTCCATGACACATGATGGTTTTGCATGCATAATTAAACTCTCATTTTTGCAACAGCCAACAGGCCCGAGCACGAGCGAACACCTCGTGGGGATACGTGTAAGCGCGAACTGATTTTTGCGCAGCCTACACTTATCCACGCGCGGCGATTCGCGACCACTGGCGAACTTGGCACCTCCGGTATCGGGATAGGCGAGGAATTTCCTTCTTTCAAGCATCTGAACTGACAGGAATCTCCGACCTCATATTTGGAAATCCCCCTGTCAATCAGGCGCGTGCGGAAGGCTTTCACTACGCCGCAATGACAAGATGACGTACACCCGGGACTCAGGGTACTTAGAGCACTGGGAAGGAGAATATCTTAGGCGGAGGTACCCAGAATTTCCCTGCCTAACCGAGAACCGGTTGTGCCCCAGGGAGTTTCACTGTGCCGTAACCAGCGATCCGAGGTGCCCCCATTACCCAACTACGTATAACACACAATACTTCATATCCCCCGGCTTCGTTGCTATCGCTACCATTTTCCCTCCCTTCCATCTCCTCCCGTACCACCAACTCACGGTGGTGTCGTGGAATTTCATCGCCCCGTATTGGCCCCACACGCTGTGCATAAACTGCAGACGACGCGTCCACCGCCGAACCCCTGGAACTACGGAGCCTAACCATAGCACGCGATGACAAACGCCACGCGTCTGCACCCGGAGGTCTGACTCATAGGAATCGCAACCCTCACGAACGGGCCTCGCCCGAACCGCCGTCACTAAAACAGACGGATCGGACGGCCCTGGATGCACCACGCATGCCTTCGGCCTTATGTTGCACGACATCGACCGCCATCAGACCGGAAGTAACCCGCCTCTTAGCCCTATTGCACCTATGCCCCTGGACCCTTGCCACATGAGATCTCAGTTCCGACCTGGGACTCCACCCCCACTTTCCTAAAAATCCTTGGCACACCCCTTTTCGCACTTCCAGGCCCACATCCCACTCCGATCACGAAGTCGCGCCGAGCGTGAGGTTGGGCGTCACAGGTCGTTCACCTCGCCTTTTTGGCAAAGCGGCCCCACCCATCCTCGATTTTCCCGTGGTGTGTGGGCCTGCGGTCTAGGAGGTGTGTGGGCCTGCAGCCCAACTCTATGACTTTCTTCTGAGCGATCTGGCATCATCATCGGCTTGTCCATTTTCTATTTTATCTGGATTGGGCCTGGGTAAGACCAGCCTCGTAACCACCTTCAAACTCAGGAGTGCTACGCTTCTGCCTCCAGCCGCCATCGCTCAGTCGTTCGTTCCACCATTCCCTGCAAGACGATGATGTCACTTGCGGGACGATGCAGGGAGTTGGCCGATTTTTGAGGTGTGTGGGTCTGCGGCCCACCTTCCTGACTCACTTCTGTGCGATCTGGCATCATCTATGGACCACCTTTTTCTTATTCTATTTGGGACAGACCTGTGTAGCATTATGCCAGCAACCGGGTTTCTGGTTGAACATAACTTCAACGATCCAGATGCAGCAAGCATACATCCTCGAACTACATCAGCAAGGATAACAGGAGCAACGGTTGGGACTAACAAAAGCAACGGTTGGAACTCAGTACCATGGGTTACCAACCTCAACTTTATTTGCCAGCCTTAGACCTACAGAATCTGAGGCCTACAGTCACCACAAGGTTCCAACAGGCAAACAAGCAACACGACCGATGTGACAACTTACCCGGGCTGGAGTACGGTCTCACTGGCCCTTCCAGTCCCACTGCCTTGCCCTGCAACAGTATAAGTCACAGGCGCCTGCCTGGCCACGATAGCTTGTGTGCCCTCCCGCGCTGCGCCTTCCAGGCCCCGGTTGCTCGCAGCATTCATCGCGAACGCAAACCTGCGCGCACACCACACAAGGGTCAGGTCGAGTCCTTTTTCCCTCGCCTGGATTTTGGTGAAGCGGTCCCACCCGCCCTCGATTTGCCCGCCGTGGGCCTGCGGCCCACCTTCCTGACTCACTTCTGTGCCATCTGGCATCATCTATGGACCACCTTTTTCTTGTTTTATTTGGAACACACCTGTGTAGTCTACAGGCGCCGCAATAAGTCCATCATTGAAGCTGATGACCGGCCCCAGGTCATTCACAAATATGTTAAAAAAAAAAAAAAAAAAAAAGTTATTCTGGGGATCTGATTGTGGGCCTCGCTGCACTGCTCTCGAAATGTGCGAAACGGGAGCGAATCTTCCTCTAGAATATGGAAAGATACACGGCCATGATTTTTGTCTTCTGTGCATGTCGAGAGTAGGGCAGCGAGGCCCTGTATATGGATCCGAACTTGAGCCGGGGCAAGGTCCCACTTGCGCAAATTACGAGATTTGGGCCGTTGATCTTTGCTATCTACGGTCAGTATCTCTTAATCCGTGCAAGTGGGACCTAGCCCCCGCTCATCAGCTTGAAGCCTGGTATTTCAATCAACAGTTTAATGTTTAATGGGATACCACTGCGATGTCGGGGTAAGTGTTGTAAGTCAATCAATGGGGGAAAAAAGGGGTCGGGTGGGCCATCATTTGCTTCCGAAGGGCCTTTCGGTGAGGAGAGAAGATTTGTGCTACCGGCTCCTCCTTTGCTTTACGATGTCGAAGGGTAGGGAAACCCAATTACTAGTATTAATCTTTTTTTTTTTTTTTGGGGGGGGGGGGGATGATTTTTTTTTTTTTTTTTTTTTTTTTTTTTTTTTTTTTTTTTTTTTTTGAGGTGTATTCGCCGCTTTCTCGTGTT